AGCCGTAGCGGACAAGCAGCAAACAAGCAGCAGCCAGGCAGCAGCAGTAGCAGCAGGCTTCAATGCGCACAAACCCAGGCTCCAAAGCACACACAGGTACCACTTCCTCTACTTGAAGTAAGAACACCAACGGCGCTCGCTTTGTGACAACCAGTTTGCAACCTAGTGGCGGCGTTATTGGATTTCTGGTGTGCACTATGTGTATGGAAAAGTCATCTTCTGAGCAAAAGTCTATCTGCTAAACACCAGCAGGACGCAACTTTGCATCGACTTCCAAAAATCTTTCCCCAAGCTGGGACGCACAATTTATCCAAACGCATCGACTTTCACATCTTGGAGTAGCGGCACGGTCCGGTTTCCAATACATGTTCTACGGAAATCTACGGAATCCACTTTTCTATCTTAGTTTGGGGTCTATTATATAGGTACTTCGGAAGAACCATGGTGGAAACCACCGAGCACAACCACGTTGGATGCATGAACTGGACCACTCGCACTGGACTACTCTTTGTTTCGATTCAGCTTCCAAGCAATACCTGGGAGGTCTGCCTTGCCTTTGGGGATCTGTCACCGCCACGGTCCTCCCCCGGCGCAGCACCCGGTCCCGGCCGCAAAGGCTTCCACACCGATGCCCACGTGCTGATTCTTCACCGCTCGGGGGAACTCTGTGAGCTTTTGGCCCTCCACCCATTCCTCAACGTGCTGCGTGGTGAACGATCCACCAAAATCCGCCTCAACATCCTCGACTTCGCAATTAGAGTCGATTAGTTATTTTGTGTTTTTGGTTGATATATGTTGATATCATTCCTGTTAGTCAGTTGGGTGGCCTTGTGTCAATGAACAAACGCACACACATACACAAACTATCCCAAAACTAATGTGAATCTTCCAAACCAACACCCAGAGTCGGTGGCCAAGACCCTTAGCGAGGTCAAAGGCCATTGTACCCTGGCGCCCGGTTCCAGCGCACGAACGGCACCGCCCGTGGTGAAAAGCGGGGACTTCGAGGGAACGTGGGGGGGGATGGTGTGCAAGAGGAAACTGAGACCAACCATGACCAACCGACAAGCATGTGACATGTGATGACATGTGGTACGGTTTTGAACGCTACAACGAAACGAATTTCCTTCCAAAATAGCGACCCTGTGGCTGTTCTTTCAGCCAGCCCGACGCCCCCCCGTGGCTCATATAAGTAGTCCGGTAAACCATGTTTGAGGCCGTTGTCGATCGAAAACCAGTCTTGGGAGGCCTACAACTAACCAAAGAACAAGATCAACGCCACATGGTAGCTGTAGCCTATGCTCCCTATCTTGTAACTCTTGCTAACATGGTGATGCCTGGTGGGTGGTTGGAAAACACGCGCGCGCGCACACACACACATACACACCGAAAGCAGTGCCTCGGGATCACCAAACCCTTCACAGAGCCACAAAGAGCGTGTCGCATGTCCTCCATACTTTGCGCCTCCTGGGCACAGGTTCTTTCATAGATCGGTCCAAAATGGTTCAAACTCCTTACACTGTACCCTACGAGTTCCAAAAGTGGATTGTGTCTTATTAGCTCCTGTTGGGTGAGTGATTTTGAGACTTCTCGACTCCTTTCACATCTAAGGCCTCCCCGGATTCTCGATGTTGGAATTACCCCCCCCTACCCTTGGATGTCCAGTCCACGATCCACACCCTGCCGACATGGAAGTGGAGGGCATCCCCTGCTTCTAGAAGTCTTCATGTAGTCTTCCAAGGTGCCATGCCATCCACTTCTATGTGATGTGCTTGTGAGAGTGTATCCACAGAAGGCTTCGACCAAACCTCCAACAATCATGGAAGTGGACGGGGTGACCATTGGAAAAGCGATGTTCTTTGTCCACGAATCCCATGTTTGGAGGGAACTCTTCGACCGGAAACTCGCTGACTGGCTGATGAGTCGGTGTGTGAGAGTGTGTGTGTGTGTGTGTCGCTCTGACGCCTAGGCGGGTGTGGGTGACAACTTGGGAATGTGAAACATGCGGAGCTTGGATGGGAAGGTTGCCTCCAGTCCATGTTGCTCCCCAGAAATTGCCACACAGTTGCACAAACACTGACACTTGAAGGATGTTTGTCTTCCCGGATGGCATTGGTGTGTCCTTCTTGTAGTCCAGCTCGTCCCAAAGGGTCTTAGCCCAATCGTCCACAATCTGAACCTTGGGATCATCCAGCGTGAACGAGCCGTGCTGTCAGGGCAAAACTCCCAATGACATGCCGAAGCCCCACACAAGGTGAGTCAGGATTTGCTGGCTATGTGACCTGGCGCCTGCTGATTTTGCATCTATATAAGTCTATATTATATATATATATATAATGAAACCCTCGACTTTTGCCAGGCAATTGACCTTCAACTGGTGCTAAAAGCCCAGAACGCTCGAGATGAACCACCACAACAAACATAAGGCTTCCAACAACTACCAAGGCCCCCCTAAAAACATCCGAAGGCTAGGTGCCTATTTCAAGCCACTGAGAGGAGGGTCGGGTTCTCCAAGAAAATAGGTGCCATTCACCATCCCGACCGGTGGGTCCTTCAATTGATCGATCTCTTCGGGTGGTGTTGCGAAACCTGACCACGCGGACCGAGGCGGAGGACCGTCTTTTGGGATCGTCCCAACGTCTCGGGGTGTTCACACCATGCCTCCAAAAGGCCACGTGGGCGACCAATTCCTGGTCGCTGGTGGTATTTGAGCGGTAATTCTTGGCGGCAATTCTGACATATACTATAGATAGTCATAGAGTCATATAGCTATATATATATATAGTATATAGTCATATAGCTAGTCACTGGTATTTTCGGAGACTGGTGGTAGTTGAAACGCTCTCCGGTGGCGCACCCACCTCACTCCAATTATCCAACCAAAGCCACTGGGTCGACACTTGCAGCCATGAAGTGCCGAACCAGCCAGCGGAGAACACGAGCCATGCCTTTCCTTGGCAGCTGGCGTGACAGAACTCATCTCGAACATCCCAAGCATACACAACGCACCAGCAAACGCTCTCCAAATCATTCCAACTATGCTCTCACTCTTGTTTCATCCTTTTTTCATTGATGCAACGTTGTGCTGCTGCATGGTGTTTGGCCCACCCCACAAGCATCAACCATCAGTTTGAGGCCAATAAATGGCGGCCGATGCCGCCCTAATGTGAAGCTGCCGCTGCCGAGCAGCAGTATGACCACATCGATGGCAAGGGCCCGATTCAATCCAGGACGTTGAACTTTCATGGCAAAGGTCTGACCATGCAACTGGATGCGATACCTCAGAGCGAAGCAAACAAAGGAACGAGGTAAGTGGAACAGCCCGAAGCAGATTCTGAAGACTCCACAAACAAAAACGAACTCAAATATATTCAAACATGCTCTTTTTCATCACTCACCTTGAGAAAAAGTCATCTTCTGGACTCCAATTCCACCAAGGCCACACCTGCCCCAGGCTGGCCGCGGCCACACAGCTCTCCGCCGTGACCCGCGCGGCTGCGGCCGCAGCGGCTGCGCCGCCCAGCTGGCATTCGACCAAGCGTCGGGCCTCGAGGTGGTCAAAGGGTGCGACCTGGCCACGGTGGTTGTGGAGGTCTGGTGGAAGCCAGTGCAAATGGATCAGGTCCCCATGTCATTCCATGTCCAGATTTACACTTGCCTAGGTGATGCCTAGGCTCCACTCTAGGCTGCCTAATTCCACGCGCTAAATCCATTTTGCTGGATGTTAGGTTAAATATATAAGTAGCATTTGGTCAAGCTGCCCAAGAAGTGTGGATGCCATAGGAACTTCAGAGAAAAGCAAACCTAAGTTCAGTGTTAGGGAGTGTGCTACCGCTGAGGGGAAGATTTGTGGCCAAGAATATCCAAGAATGTTGCAAGCTTTCTACCTGGACCCTCCAAGGGGTGCCCAATGGAAGCCTATAGGCAGTGTGGGTCCATTGGACACCTCTTAGGGTCCAGGTAGGTGCCACCGTTGATCGTCAAAAGTCGACATCGACCCTTGCCATCTGCTCACTTCAGCATCCCCAAACAGGCGCGACACCCCGTCGGAGCGTCTGCGCAAGCCCGAGCCAGGAAAACGACATATCATTTCAAAAAACAACAACACATAAAAGCACGGACTGAGCCGAACCCGCAGCGGCGTGGTCTTAGACCACGATGTTTGGGGTGCCAAACGGGCAGCCACGTCCCACCGGCACCTGGTCGCAAAGCTTCCGAAGCTCAGCGGCCACTGCTTGGCTCAAAATGTCTTCGCGACAGGCCGCTGCTTGGCCCAACTTCACGAAGGCGGGGCCCAGTGCCTTTCGGAAGAGAGAGGTCTGCCGATTTGGAAGGATAGACCTGCCAGGAAAGGTATATCAATGCTGATAATTCGAGTCAATGTGATAAGTGCAATTCCTGATTCACATGTTCAATTCAAAATTCTGGGAGATCACAACAAAATGACGCTTTGAAGCATTACGCTCCGGAAAACAAACCTGTGCCTGGAAAACACTTTTGCGCCAATTATATAAACATGTGTATGTCTACCGTTCGGTTACACTGGGGAAAGCGGTCTTGGGGTCTTTGATGGACCCCTGGCATACGTCACCGTAAACGTGGACCATGGATGCAATCACAAGGATTTTTCAATCGACCATCAGCCGGTCTAGTGAAATGGTTAACGTGGACCTTGCCTGGTCTAATTACGTTGGATGCTGAAAATGACATGTTAAAAAACAAAAACAAAAACACACATGGTACCTGAGCCATCAACGCACATGTTTTTTCCTACACGCTCCCCGGTGCGGACCCCTTTTGACGTAGCACCTGCAAGGGGTGGTATACTTCATCACACCAGGTTCCTAGGTTAACCTAACGGCAACGCTTACACGTTAAAGAATTATGAATATCCCTGGGAATCCCCAGCAATTATGCTAGCTTGTAACTGGTCTGTGGGGTGGTTCGTCCTACTTTTCCATTCCCCGGGAAACAGCGAGAGAGAGGTCCAAAGTACATTAACATAGCACTCCGGCAGCTAGGGTCTTGATATCATGTAGTTTTAACTTTACGTGCGAAAAATAGTGGTCTTTATGCGCAAAATAACAAAACAAAGCTAATGTGTTATATTTTTTCTGCTGTAGTACATAGGTGTGAGACATTCCAGGACAGTCATGCACCAAAGTGGCCTCCAAAACATGTTGCAAGCGACGGGTGTTCTCCACTGCTTGGTCGCTACCAGTGGCTTGCTGCCAAGCGATGCGAGCAGCGATAGGGAGCAACCTGGGAAACCCCGGAGGTGCGCGGACAAAAAAAACAGTGGAAAAAAACACAACCATCTGAATCTGATTCTAGCTTTTAACTTGGTTGATTCTTGAGCGTAATAGCTTCTTGCCATGCTCTTTCAACAATTTGATACTTGACCTCTTTGCATTCCCTGTGTGTACAGCAATTGACCTATGTCAGGAGCTCCAAAGAAAATCCCCAGTCTGCACTGCACCGGATTCGACTACGGCTGACCTGGAGCGAGTTCCACAGGGCCGAAGCGGCCGAAACCGAGCCCGGACGGCTCCATATCGATTTCCCTCAAAACACAGAGGGGACTCGGTGGACCATACCACTGCGATTTCGCTCGTGGCGAAGGGTGCGAAGATGAGTTAAATGATTGTCTCCCAGAGTTCAGCTAATACATGTAGACTGTCGACTGTAGACTCTTGATTAATAGAACTTCTCCTGCGAACAGGTTTTTGCAATCCACATGAGGCGTTAGGGGACGCCCCCCCATGGCCCGAGCTTGGCTCGGCGCCAAATAGATCATGGGGAAACAGTTACAGTTAACACCTCCCTGGGGCTGTAGCCCTCTGCCCCATCGTCCCTGACTCCATCGTCCCTGACGCCCTCGTCCCTCACACCACGCCTACACGGAAGATCCTAAACTTGGAGCCTCGAAACAACTCCCTGACAGAATCCATGGGAAGTGAACAATTGCCGTCTTTTTTGGTTTTCTTCCATGGAACATGACTTGGAGAGCACATCCTTCTACCATCCTCTACCCAGCTTCCAGAGCTTCTTATCCTCAACACCCAGCAGCTGCGCAGTCACTTGCAGCCGTCTCCGCCGCAAAGCTCCGCTGTGACGCTGCTCCACTGTGCGGCACGCGCCCGGCAACTCCGGCAAGTCCACCGCATCCGGCGCATCCAACGGCACGTCGTCCGGCGCCCCACGACGGGGCGGCGGGGATGACCTGGGGTGGAGCACGGTCCCTTAGGTCCTCCAACGATTTGGGGTTGAATACAGGAAGGTCCTGTTCTGAGCCGGGCGCAACATCGGCCAAGTTGTGCTAATTCAGCGGAACAAACACCCTTGGGCCACGGGTCAGAATTCGGCTCGAAGGCTGTTCGCCCCCCGCCTCGGCCAGCAAGAACGCCATACGGCAAGCCCCGTGAAGCAGCCATCTGTCATCTTGTGCCAACGCTGCAAAGCCGGGTTCAAATTTTAGACATGGGAGCTGCGTGTGCCCAAGTCAACAACTAAGCAACAGAATGCTACCAAAGAAGGGAGAAGTGGTAGAACCTGACTGCTCCTTAGCAAATACCTGCCACTTCTACCAGGGTCCAGGCGGGCAGTCCGTATTTCATCATCAACTCAACATGCACGGGGGCCATAGTTACTTCTGGCAATCTTTTGTTTCTTAAATCGCAGCACACACTCTTTGCCATGGATTTCAGCCCTCAACCCGACCCAATGCCGTAAACGCCGTAAACTGGAAGCGACTGATTGCCAGACCAAGAGTGGAAGTGCTTGGATGGATGATGTGGAGTCTTAGAACAACTGCCTTTGAAAATGCGTGGATGCTTTCTTTTGCCAGTTCAGGGACCCTACCATGAACGGCTTCGAAACGTGTCATCCAACGCACATGGCGTTCAGAGATGTGATGTCGCAACAGCAAAGCCCAGTTCGATTTCGTCCGAGTGCCCAGACTGAGAAAGGAGGCGTGGAGGAAGATTCGAGAACACCAGGCCACGCTGCCCTGAGTCGCTCGACGGTCGCAACCGTGCGAAGCAGGAACTGAGTGGTGCTCTTGTCCGTACTTGAAGACTTGCCCTAAGAATCCGGGTCCTCAAACAAGTAGGGTTTGGAGGGTCCGGACCCCTGCCATGGAGGGCCCAAGGATTCTTAGGTGTGACTCCTTAGACTAGATGGGGGGGCGGCCCACATGCACTGAGGCTTCCCGCCGTCCCATAAAGCGGATCCCCTGGGCGACGCGTTCCGACGCGTTCCAACCGTGGTTCCGCAGCTTCGATGGATTGAAGCAATGCAGTCACCATGGTGAACCCAGTGCAGTTGGGATCATATAGGATCATTTCTGTAGCTAGACAAGGTGTTGGTAGGTGTTCCTTTATTCATCTGTTCGTGTCCAGTCACTGCGTCTTGGAGCTGTGCATGCTTGATCAAATGACACCCCGTCTTGGCCTGCTGCCAGTGTCAACCTTTCGATTGGTGCATGCTTGGTCTTTCCATCAGGCTTCAATACTCTGAATATGGAGCTGCTATTGTTGATAGCCGTGCTGGCCATCTACCGCATCGCCATTGTTCAAGGGGCCGGACCCAGCAAGGGGAAGCCTTCACTGCTCATGTGGACCTTGGCTGCGGTCTTACGGTCCGAGCCTGGAGCTACGAGTGAAACAAGTCCACTCGTTCTCGTCGGAGGCATCAACGGCGGCATCAACAATAGCATGAATGAACAACACCAACACCAACAGCACCAGCCGCAGCAGCAACAGCCAGTCTAGTGCGAAACATGTGGAATAAAACACTTCCTATATATATATATATAAGGGTGCATGTTTAATTTGTTGTTTTTCCCGAAAGCATTGCGAAGGGTTCTTCCGGAAAATCCTTTGAACACTTACATTTCGACACTTACACTTACACACACACACTGGAAGAGCGAAAGCATCCAAGTGCGAAGTATGCCAGTGTCAAAGTATGCAAGTGTAAGTATGCAAGCATGATATGCAAGGGTGAGTATGCAAGCACGCAATGAGTATACAAGCATGCAATGAGTAGGCAAGTGTGAGTATGGAAAACTAGCACGGGAGATGTCCTAATGAAAAAACATTTCCCCACTTTATAAATTCTCTCTTAAAGGCGGAGTGCGGGACGAACAGCGTCAACCGAAAGTGCAACCCTCTGCGGAGATCGTGCGTGTCGAGTGCGCGAAATGCAGGCGAGAGTGCGATTCGCCGGCTGCGCGCGCAACCCTCTGCGGAGATCGTGCGTGTCGAGTGCGCGAAATGCAGGCGAGAGTGCGATTTGGTACGCAACTCTAGTACGCAGAGTAGCTGGGGAGCTGGAAGCTGAGAACTGGCGACGTGGTGGTGCGAGAGTAGTACGCGGAGTAGCTGGGGAGCGGGAAGATGAGAACTGGCGAGTGGGTAGTACAACTTGAGGGCGTGGAGTATCTGGGGAGCTGGGAGATGAGCACTGGCGACTGCGTAGTACAACTTTAGTACGCGGAGCAATCTGTGGAGCTGGAAGCTGAGAACTGGCGACTGCGTAGTACAACTTTAGTACGCGGAGTAATCTGTGGAGCTGGAAGCTGAGAAGTGGCGACTTGGTAGTACAACTTTAGTACGCAGAGTAGCTGGGGAGTGGGAAGATGAGAACTGGTGAGTGGGTAGTAGCTGAGAACTGGCGACTTTGTAGTACAACTTAAGTAGTACGCGGAGTAGCGGAGGAGCTGGAAGATGAGAAGTGGTTGCGCCTACATCCACGCGAGGACCATCGCGGAGTGCCACGCGAGGAGCGCCAGCCATCTTTTCCCAAGAGGGCGGCGTTTGCGCTGGTCACTGCGGCTGAAAACTTACCCGGACGAGACCTCGGAGCCCAGCCTTGCGAACTTTGCGGGCAGTGGACGCATTCCTGGTGCGAGGCTTGTTCGCTGCGGCCGTGCAACGCCGTTTGTACCCAGTGCGATGCAGATCACCTTATCTGTCGACCATGCCAGCGTCTTGGGCGGTCGTGGGAAGCGGCCCGCGCTGCTAATACCACGCCGCCCGATTGCATCGAACTCAGCGGCTACCACGACCAGACTGGCAGGTTTGTTCAGGTGGACCCCCCGCTCCGCATCCCACTGGCGGACGTGTCACCAGATGGCACCCTCGACGCCGCCCAGTTGGCCCAGATGGTCGCCGCCGTGTCTCCGGAGCGGACAACGCAGTGAGAGTCTCCCCGACGCAGAGTGTCACCTAGATGTTCACATGGTAACTGCATGTCTCATACCACGAATTCTTCTTGCGGAAGCACGACAAGTATAGACATAGTGTCGGGGAGTCTCTGCCCTATACAAGGGCTAGTCGCGAGCTGAACGACCAGAGGATACGAAAACATGCGCAGTGCCTGCTATGTGTCACCTCGTGCTACTTTGTTGCATGTTTCTGTAGGAGAGGCGATTGGAAAATGACCAGCATGGTGGTTCTCAATTACATCTAGAGCGAAGCACATGTCACCCTCAGAGCGCCTGTGCCAACAGACTGTGCGTTTTCCGTGACTGACCTTTCGGGGCTCACAGTGACATTGCAGAAGTCTCCATACAACTTGGGCCAACTACAACAATATCAACTCAACAGCAATGAAGAATATACTAGCAAGAAGTTTGAACGCGCCCCACAAGCTTTTGCAATATTCATTTCCCACATAAACCTTTACCAGGCAAACCGAGCCTTCTTATGGCTATGCATGCGCTATTTACTACTTTACAGCCCACTAGCTCGTAGGTCTCCCTCTTTGCCCAGCCATCATGCCAGGGAACCTTGGCATTGTTGACGACCACTTCTTGTATACCAACCTGGATAACCAGAGACAGGTGTGCCTCTGTTGGTCCTATGGAAGCAGGACATACCATGACGACCAGCCAGAGCTCATCCATGAAAGATGGCCAAGCCAGTCCATAGCAACCAGATGCTGGGTTGCCCATGGAGAAACCTGGCAGTTTTGGCGAGTGGTCCAGTGGTCCAGTGGATGGGAAGACTGGGTTAGGAACAACAGCCGCAACTTCACAGATGCCTACACCATCCAGATCTGCTTCGGGTGGACGCGCTAGACCCAACCAACTGTGTGTCTCATGCCGTGACTTCTTCCTGATAAATTCTGTGTGGACGTCGTTCTGCGGAAGCACTACGCTATCCTTGCTGTGTACAAAGACTAGTCGCGAGCCGAACAACGAGAGTACGCTAAAACATCTACAGTGCCTGCTGTGTGTCACTTCACGCTACTTTGTCACGTTTTTCTCTGAAACAGTCAATTTCTCTGAGACAGTCAATTACTCAATGACAAGCATAGTGGTTGGTTATACTCAAATATCTACTCAACAGCAGTGACGAATATACTTGGAAGAAGGTTCACGCAACCCACAAGCTTTTGCAATCGCACATGAACCAGAGCCTTCTTATTCCTCTTTGCCCAGCCATCATGCCAGGGAACCTTGGCATTGTTGACGACCACTTCTTCAGCGTCAACCAGGATGACCAGAGGCAGATGATTCACACGTTCTTGTTCAGTCTGCAGTGCGGCATGTGGTGATGCAATTGTTGAGATGGCAAAGCCAGCACGCTGGCTAGCATCATAGTCGAAGTGGGTAAGCCAGCACGCTGGCTGCCATTGTCCAGATGGCAAAG